GAGTTAAACAATGCCACTACCACCACTCCTGAAAAGCAATGACAACACAATGTGTGAATTGCTTTAACTGAGAAATTAAAGAAGTCTTGTGAAAATGGGTAGGAAAACTTTAATGATGAGAGAGTAAGGGAAAGCTTTTCAGAAAGGATTTGGGGTTCTTAAAATCAAGTACTTCATTCCTCTTAAGTTGATTTTCACTCCTCTATCATTCTTTTCATACCTTCTCCTATGTCTGTGTTTGGGAAAAAGATCTGGTGGGGTGTTATTAACCTTTCTTCTAAAGAGCCTTGCAGTCCAAAGTGTGATCTCAATACTAGCATGATCCCTTTACCTGAGGTACTAGAAATGCAGAACCTCAGGCCCTTCCCCTGGGAATATGAATTCTAACAAGATCCCCAGGTGATTCACATGTACACGAACAATTGAAAAGCACTGTCATAGAAGATGAGAGCCTCATCTCAGGAAATAAACTTCCAAGGGTCAGGACCCCTCGCCCAAGAAGGGCAGCATTCAGTGTCTACATTGGACAGTTCCAAAACCTTTTGGTCTCAGGATCTCTATATACACTTTTCACTTATTAAGGACAGCAAAGAGATTTACTTATATGAGTTATAGCTACTGACTTTTACAATACTAAAAATTAAATTTGGAAAATTATTTGTTAGTTCATTTAAAAACAATAAATTCCTACATGTTGATATAAATAACAGTTTTCAGGCAAAATAACCACCTTTTCAAAATGTATTAGTAAGAAGAGTACCATGGTTTCACATATTTGCAAATATTTTAAACATCTGGCTTAACAGAAGCATTCTCATATCTGCTTCTGTGTTATAGCTGTTGCCATATCACACATCAAGTAAGGTCCCATAATATGCTCACAGAATGAGAGTGAAAATTTCTATTTTAATATTATTATTAAAAAATTGTTTTACCATACAGACCACTGGGCCACTTTGAGATCTATCCCAACCCAAGAGCTCTCCTCTCTCGTGATCCTTTACCTCTAACTTTTAGGAAACACCATCACACTTTGAATTGTGCCAATTGTAATGATTTTTGTCACAACTGCAAAGAATATTCTTAACAGAATCATTTGAGACAAAGAATGATTTCTTAATTAGGTAAGTTCTTTGGATGGAAAGATTCCACATCCTCCCTTCAAATACCAGTTGAGTGATCCCCACAATTGTGTTATCTTAGCCAACCCAGGTCGCCTGTTAATCTACCTGGAGATGGTATTGGCTGCACTAACTCTAACATACACAGGTGCACTGAAAATGAAGGGAAGCTATACATTAAAAAAATATATTGTTAATTAACTAACTAAATGTAAGGTGTTACTACTTATTTTCCACATCTCTTGCTACACATTTGCAGTGTTGTGACTTCTGGTTGAAACTTTCTTACTTATGAAAAAATTAATCTAACTCATACCTGTTCTATTTACTCCTGTCTCCAGGTTCTATCTCCAGGTTTCTCTTGCTTCTATTTAGTCTCATTATCTTGTACTCAAGGAACCTTGTTTATTTAATTTATTGTCTTAGCAGACAGGGAAAAATTGTCCCTTGTCCTGAAGCAAGTTTTAAGACAGAAATCATAGATCTAAAAGGACCTTTTGGCCATCTCGTCCAGCAGGTCTCAATCCTTCATGCGCATTAGACTCACCATTGCTTGGAGAATTAAAGGGAGAAAAAAACAACACCAGAGTCAAACCCCAGACCAAACAAATCCAACTCTCTGGTGTGGATCCAGGCGTTGGAATTTGTAAAGGTCCATCAGAAGATTCTAAAGCGCAGCCAGAGCTGAGAAACTCTGATCTAGGCCAACTCTTCACTTTCCAGATGTGGGATGGGGGGGGAAAGACAGCCAAGTTGGGAAGGAAGCTAACATAGAATCACCAAAATAGAACTAGGATTTGAACACCACATCTGGCCTGACAACATGACTAAGATTCTCCCATTATTTTCTTAATTCAGTCCTCAAAATGAAACAAACAAAAATGGAGTTTTAGTCTTCTTCCTTATTAAGAAGGCATTTTTCAAATAACATCAAAGTATATTTTATATACAATAAAATATATGTACCCATTTTAAGTTTAAAGTTCAATAAGTTAGACACATATATATACACACACCCATGTTAGTACCTCCCCAACCTTAACATAGAATATTTTCATCACCCCAGAAAGTTCCTGTGCCTCTGCCCTGTCAGCAACCTCTATTGAGGCCTCAGGCAACAATTACCCTGGTTTCCCTCACTGCAGATTGGTTTTTCCTGTTTTAGAACCACATAGAAATGGAATCATACAGTATGCATTCTTTTATGTCTGCATTCTTTCACTCAGCATAATTTTTTAAAGATTCAATGATGTTGTATCAGCAGTTTGTTCCATTTTATCGACGAGCAGTATTCCATCGCATGAATATTCCATAGTTTATACAACTGGGTTGCTTCCGGTTTGGGACTATTACAAATAAAGCGGCTATGGGCATTTGTGTACAAGTCTTTGAAAGTGCATAAATTTTTATTTCTCTTGAGTAAAGATATAGGAGTGGAAATATTAGGTCCAACGTGGCCCGGGAGGCAAGGTACATACAAGAAAACGGTTCTGCATCCAGGCAGGGCTCTTTATTAACATAGAGATCAAAATGCTGACTTCATGGGCATGTTCAAAGGATGGGAGAGAAAGCATGTAGAATGTTGGTAAATAGAAGACAGTTAATAAGTGATAATAGAAATAACTAGAAACAGAACTGGGTTGGACTGTTCTCAGTGAGGTACTTTCCCACTACAGCACACTGTTCACCTCCCCACAATGCTCATCCAGCCAAAGGCTCCTCCGACCCCACCCAACCCCTATACCCCCTCCTATCCTTCAAGGTGAGGCCATAAAATGTGAACTGCCTTCTGAATTAATTTAGAAGTGTTTCTTCGCTTGTTTGTTCTATTAATTTTTAGTTATCTTTTAAGGAGAAATGCCTACCTTTGGGCCATTATTAGACTGAGATATGACCACAAGCAGTGACCAACCTATTGATAACTGTAAGTGAACCTGAAAATAACTTTCAGAAAATATGACTTTATTTGCATTTAAACTCCCTCTGTTGTCTAGTTCTTTCCCCCATGCCTTATTCTTTTCCTGTGCAAATCTTCCACTCCTCCTAAAAGTGCCCTTCTATCTGCAGGACAGAGGAGCAAGATAAATGGCCAATATCCAACATGTTCTATTAAACACACACACACACACACACACACACACATACACACACCCCTTATCTATGTTCAACTGTAAAAGCTGTGAAGACTTAAATTTACCAAATGAATCATAAAAGATGCTATCCTAGAATACGTACTTTTCTCTCATAAGATGTCTCCTCTCTCATGGGGCCTTGTGATAAATGACCCTATCTTCACTGAGGTGACAAGCCCCAGATGTCACCAGCCCCCCCTCACTGAGGTGGCTGCTGTTCACAGTTATACTTCCCCTCTCCCACAAGGTGGTCTCCTGTCCTGCCCTTCACGCTGGTCCCTTGATCAAGGGCCTTTTTTGAGCTCTTCAGCTAAACAGGCCAGCAAACAGGCTTCTTCCTCAGCCAATTTGAATGCATGCTGCCTTGAGATTTCCAGAGACAATCAGCTTTGGCTTTGGAACTGCATGCGGGTCTTCCTTGGGAGGCCTAATAGCATGTTTCATCTGTGAGCCACTTTATAAAAATTAACTGATTAAGCCACCCTCTCTCTTCACAAACTCTAGGCTTTTGCACAGTGGACTACATTCTCCACTGCCCTCAAATTACTCCAGGAGGAAAGAAACTGGGGCTAAATGATCTTTGGGGGGTATTTTATGCTAAGACAACATTAATGCCAAAGACCTTGAAACAGCAACCCCCACTTGGGTAATGACTTGACCAGGGAAGGATTTAAATCCATGTTTATTTAAAAGACACTGAATTGAGGTTCTCATCTCCCACAACCAGGTCAGCAGACTGAAGAACTTGACTCCATGGTCTAGGGCAGGGTCACTGAATACAGCCCATGGCACTAAGTGCAACCTGCCAGTTGTCTTTATAAAGAATACTAGTGGCCCGGTGCATGAAATTCATGCATGGGGGTTGGGGGAGAGGCTGTTCCTCTCCAATCTGGGACCCCTCAGGGGATGTCTGACTGCCGGTTTAGGACAACCTAAACCAGCAGTAGGACATCCCTCTCACAACCTGGGACCACTGGCTCCTAACTGCTGACCTGCCTGCCTGCCTGATCGTCCCTAACCACTCTGCCTGCTGACCTGCTCACCCCCAACTTCCCTCCCACCGGCCTTCTCACCCCCAACTGCCCCCCCTGCTGGCCTGATCACCCCCAA